AATTGAATTTCATTATTATAAATAATTTACAAAAACAAATTATAAACAATTATTGAAACAAATTGAATTCCTTTTTACTTATAATTAACATATCAATTATTTATTCTTACATTCTAAACCATTTTTTCTTGAACCTCCATCTTTTATTGGTAGCAGACATTATCATTCCATCAATGCAATCTTAGATTATGAGAAAAAGTAAATATAATATTAGAATATAATGTCTTCCATTTGGTTGATGTAAACAAGACAAATGAAAGATCGAAAGGTGGGCCCTTAAAAATATATAGTGAAGAAAGAAAATAATTTCGAAGAATAGACACTCCGTACTTCTTTCCATGTATAATCCACTGTCTACATACATGCAAATAGTATAAGTGTAGATATATACATATAGAGAAAGAATCATGCGATAATTCAAGTACTTTGAGGGAAGTTACAAAATATATATGATTACACGTGATAAGCGTGCTTAGTTATATATAATTAAACACATCTAAAGGGGATGCACGTGACTTAAACAAACTATGTGTTCTCAAAGCAACATGTGTTTAGTCATATATCATTAAACATGCATATCATGAATGCAAGCATATATGATATTAAACTTCTCACTTTCTATCAAATTTACCACGTTTTCTTTTGAACGTAACTATATATATATATATATATAGAGAGAGAGAGAGAGAGAGAGAGAGAGAGAAATTTGGGATCATGTGAGACCAATATGTTTTTATGAGACCTGTGAGACCAGTTTTTTATACTTGAAAGTTCACATCAAAACACAATGAAAGGTAATCTTCATATTGTTTTTGCTGTGAAAATTTGGATTTTTTTTACCTTTACAGTGTTGTATTGTGAAGTTTAAAGTGTAAAAAAGTGGTCTCATGAGTCTCACAAAAACAGTCTAGTCTCACGTGATATCAACCATATATATATAATATATATGGTCACCAATGAACAAGTTGTCAATGTGAACAATGTTCATTTTTAAACATTTAGTGTGCGTTCATGTATTGACAGTTACTATGTTCATGTTGATCATCTATAACCAGACTCAAAGAACTCGTTCAATTAAGGATGTTGATTGTTGAAGTGTTATTGATTTTTCTCAAAATACATTCATGTATGAAAAATCACAAACACTATAACTTACAACACCTTGAGAATATTAAAATGACTTAATTCAAGGAGTAATTAATGTAACTCCTTTTAAAATGCATTAAAGTAATACACAACATAAACTTACTATTTTCATCCCAATAATTAATTACACATGAAACTATGAACCTTTGTTCTAGATTGATTTTTATTGGTTTAAAGAATTTGTATAGTCAACACAAATGAATTGACTAACAAAAACTCACCTCTCTCTCTCTCTCTCTATATATATATATACATATATACATACACACATATATGTGTATATACACACATAAAGACATACATATACATATGCATACACATATATATACATGTCTATATGAGGTAAAATGGAAGTAAGAACACACATACATGAGCTGTTTACACATGTCATTGAGAAAATATGTTATTATCCAATACTTGGAATTTACTAAATTCGATCATTCAATGCGGATATATTTTAGATGGTGACCATAAATTGCAAAATATAATAACAAAAAATTAAACATAATTGATTCTTGTCTAAATAGAAACATGGAAATGAGAAAATATTTATTAGTTTTACACGATCTAATTATTTGAAACCAATCAATCAGAAAATCATGAAAAAAGTCTTTGAAATACATTCAAGCGGGGATCCTAATGAAGAACTTTTGGTCAAAAGTAGGGCCAAACTGAGGCTATTTGTTATGACACCGAAACCAACATGAGCTTAATTTGTGGGTCCTCTAACTCTAAATAGATCAAAACTTATGACCATTTTAAGTTTTGCTACTTTCCAACCCATTAGTTATTGGAGCTGTTTCACATCTGTATTTATAGATATTATATAACTGTATATATGTTTGTGTGTATTTATGTCTATGTATGTGTGTGTATATGTATATATATCATAAACATATATATATATATATATATGTGTGTGTGTATGTATATGTATGTGTATATATATGCATGTATATTGGGAAAATTTCAAATTAGAAGCATAAATATTTTGAGAATATGAGAACCAACTATTTTATGTATGATGAATAATCATAAATATCATGCATGTACATGATTCATGAATGGCATGCATTTTTATAGTATATTTTCGGTATAAGAAACTTCCATGATAAATAACTATCACAAGATTTATCATGAATAGTTTGTTTTCAAGTTCTCAAAATATATATGGTTTTCAATTTCAACCTACTATTATGTATACCCACATATAGAGTCATGTTTAAACAACAATAGTAACCAACTAAGAGTGTACGTTTGATTCGTTTGTTATCGTGGCCTCTTATTTTGCCACATTTCTAATTTTATGAATCCAACACACATACACACACACACACTCTTTCTCTCTCTCTCTCTCTCTCTCTATATATATATATATATGTGTGTGTGTGTGTGTGTGTGTCTACATATAGGAGTAGGTTACTTTTGTCTAAAATCACATATGATCATGTTCGACTAGTTTACATCCATGCGTTGATCGTGGTTTGTAATCACATGTGATTCCAATTCAAAATCAAATTTGATTTGGTGGTTCTTGTATTTAATTATTTTTACATTTGTTCTCGTTTGATCCTCTCCCCCCCCCCCTTCTATATATGTGTGTGTCTATGTATACATGTGTGCATATATGTGTGTGTGCGTGTGCGTGTGCATGTGCACAAACATGGATATTTACTCCCTTTATGTACATGTGCGTGTGCGTGTGCATGTGCATGTGCACAAACGTGGATATTTACTCCCTTTATGTACATGTGCGTGTGCGTGTGCGTGTGCATGTGCACAAACGTGGATATTTACTCCCTTTATGTACAAGAAGAGGAAGATATTAAGGGGTTGTTCGGTTCATTTTCTATTAAGACCTATATAGATAAAGATGTTTGTATTGATATGGTTGTCACTGTGATAACATATAAGTTATTATTCGGTTGTTGTGCTGAATAAACCGTCTGAATGTCAAAAATAACCATTTTACCCCTGTCTATTTTTGTAGTGTTTGATAAAAATATTGAGTAAACGAATTTTAATTATAAAAGTTATAAAATTATAAAAGTCATAAAATAATGTTGTCTATTGATGGCTGCCTCCCCAAACTCTCTCTATCTCGCTCACCGATCTCTCACATCGATCTCTCTCACCTCCCTCTTCGGCTTGCCTCCCTGAACTCGCTCATCGATCTCTCTCTCGCCTCCCCTCTCTTCAGCTTGTCTTACCGATCTCTTCTCTCTCGCCTCCCCTCTCTTTGGCTTGCCTCACTGATCTCTCTCTCGCCTCCCCTCTCCTCAGCTTGCCTCCCGTAACTCGTTCATTGATCTCTCTCGCCTCCCCTCTCTTTGGCTTGCCTCCCTGATCTCTCTCTAGCCGAACTCCCTCTTTCTATCGAAGCTGTGTGAGCAAGAACAATTGAAGTTGTGCGAGATGGAGGATGCATCGAACAATCAAAGCTGGAGAACGATGGTCGGCATGTTTTGGAGAGAGGGGCAGTTGGGGAAAAGTAATGACTGAGTGAATAGCAGTGTGGTATATTAGCTGAGCTAATCAGCCCCTATAAGACCGATTAAGCTCTTACCAAACACAAAGGTATGGTTGTACGAATCAATCATATATGTTATATGTTATATGAGGGCTAGAACCCCTGACTTTATGGAAAGATGGGATCAGGTTGGTAGCATCTCGCTCGCCCCCTCTCGCTTGCTACAACTTCAACACCAGCTAGATAAAAGCAATAAATCTGTAAGCTCAGAGCAGAGAGTGCTCCTCAAGTGAGAAGCTTGAACGGAGTGCCCTTGTGTAAAATCCTAAATTCAGTCTTCACTGATAGATAGAAAGATAAATTTCATGGAGTTGATTCATCTTCGAATGCTCGAAGAGATGGAAGGTAATAGTGATTAGAACAGAACATAGCTTGTTGCCAGTCACGAATGAAGAAGCCCAAAGCAGACAAGACGACATTGATTGAATGGGAGGAGGAGATCAGAATTTGGTGGAGAGGATATCGATGGGGACTCTAGAGAAAGGGGGTTAAGTCAAGAATAGTATCCCGTGCATATCACATAGGGAGAATTGGACAAAGGGAAGGGGACTGGCCCTCATGGCCTCTTGGATCTCCGATTGAGCGAAGATAGGGTAAAGCTCTGAAGGTGGTCGTTAAGTTATAAAAAATTAACATTGGCTTACAACATTGATCTTTAATCATAAACTATCCTTCAACATTTCTTGGTGGAAGAAAACTTGGATCAAAGGAGGATCAACTTGATTAGCTATGTGATTAAGGATCTATGCTTCGGTTGTACTCAAACGCGCAATAATTTTCTTGAATGCCAAGGAAAATCAGTTTTTTGCCAAAAAATACAATAACTATGAAAAGCAGCATAAAGGACCACCTAGAGTTTATTGGTGAAGATAACTAAAGGCTGAAGTAATTAAAGAATCATAGAAATCCCTAATGGAGATGGTACCAATTATTTGAGACTAAGACCATCAAAACCCAATTTCTTTAATAGTTGGAGATGAAGCAATGTAGTACGTATTTTAGTTGAAAGTGACCATGCATGGTTGTTATGATGATCTTACAATGCATGATTAAAAAAAGCATGATGATAATAAACTTTTTGAGTTTGGTCATTTAAAGATAAAAGCTATAACCAATTATGTTTTTAGGTCCATAAATATTCACAGCCTTCAACTTGATTTAAACCAGAAAAGAAGCACATGGTGCAGTGGTGCATCCAAACAACCTGTTAAACACCCCTTAGAAAAGTTTATTGCTCAAATGGGCAAAAAGATGTAGCCCAATTTCAAGAAGAACATTGCAACTACAATCAAATTCAGCATCTCTGACTCTACTTGTTATCTAGCATGTCCAAGACTCTTGAAAGGTACCAAAGATGCAGTTATGGTGCAATGGAAGCTAACCATCAAGATCAAGATGCACAGGTAGCGGTTCTATCTTGAATCTTGCTCTACTGTGTATTGGGTCTTCTTATATTAGTTTTATTTTATTTCCAGTCAAATAGTTAAAGTAACACTTTTTGGTAACCGCACACTTTTTGAAATAAAACGTTCTACTATTTGTTTATATGATATTGATTACAAAAGTGTTTTAAAAAATACATGTTTATAGAAAAAAAGATATCCTGTAAAAAAGTTAATACGACATTTTATTTTTAAAGTATCCTGAAAAACTTGTTAAAACTAGACTCCAAAAGCGTCCAATTAACTTTTTGCAACGCTTTACACAAGACGCATAATTGTTCGGTTGTAATAACCTTAAGTCTTATAAAGAAATCTATTATGACATTTAAACATTTTTTATATCATATAAACCCGATTTTATTACAGAGATAATAAATACTATGACTAATTATTGGCGTGAACCTTGCAGAGCAGCTACCAGGAATATTTAAAGCTTAAAGCCAAAGTTGATATCCAGCAACAATCTCAGAGGTATTTTTGGTTACATCCAGGGACTCTATGCATTTATTATTCATAATGTACATGTGATTGATGGATATATAATGGGAGATCTAGGAGGCTGAATTATTTTGCATGAACTAAATCTAGCATGAAACATATGGCGGGAAATCGGTCAAAATAATATTCATTTCATATAAATTGGTTTTCTAGTCATTTTTCTTCCTGATTTGTTCAAATGTCACTACCACCTCCCTCACTTGCGGATAGGGCTGTAAACGAACCGAACGTGCAGCGAACCATTCATGAACTGTTCGGCGGGAAGTTCGTTTATGTTCGTTTATTTAATAAATGAACGGACATGAACAATTTTTTTTCTTCGTTTAGTTAAACAAACGAACATGAACAAGAGTCCCGTTCGTTCATTTATGTTCGTGAACATTCGTACATTTACCATTCGTTTACGTTCATTTATATTTGTTCGTTTATGTTCGTGTATATATTAAATTTAATATATAATCTTTTGTTTATTTACTTGAATTCAAATAATGTTTATTTATGTTCGTTTAGTCCATTCGTTTATGTTCGTTTAACCCGTTCGTTTACGTTCGTTTAGCATGTTAACGAACGAACATAAACGAACACAAACACGAACACACCTGATTTCTAAACGAACGAACACGAACACAAAGATTTTCGTTCGTTTACCGTTCGTGTTCATTCGTTTGTTCGGTTAAGTTAAACGAACGAACATGAACAAGTCTCTGTTCATGTTCGTTCGGTTCGTTTGCAGCCGTATTTGCGGACCTAGTTAAAAGACAAAAAAATTCAAATTCAACCTAGGTTAGCAAATGGTACCGTCACAATCGCGGACCTGGGTTGAATCTGCATTTTTTTGTCTTTTAGCTAGGTCCGCAAGTGTGAGAGGTGGGACTTGCGTAGGTAGTGACATTTGAATAATTCAAGGAGAGGAATAACTAGAATGCCAATTTAGGAGGGTGAAATGGCTATTTCGACCAATTTCCTACATATGGCAGGTCTCCTCCTTGGGGTCCATCCTATGTTTATATATCCTTATTGTTAGGATCTTGTTACTAACTAATGAATATATATTGTCCACACAGGCATTATCTTGGAGAAGAATTAGAGCGGTTGGGATCAAAGGAACTTGACCAGCTTGAGCGTCAACTGGATTCGTCACTCAGGCAAGTCCGGTCGACCAAGGTACATCAATTTCAATGGGTACTAGACTTCAAGGTTTCTTGTGCCTTCTCTTTTTTCTTGGGCATAGTATTGACGTTGTCCAAATGTTAATTGTAGAATCAGCATATGCTTGACCAACTTTCAGATTTACAACAGAAGGTAATCCCCACAAAATATCAACTCCATCCGTACATGCATTATTAGTTGTTTTTATTTGCTTTTGAAAATTAAACTTGTATTTAATAAAGTTATAATAGTTTAATTAAGCTTATGCTTTTTTGTTTCATAGTAATCATTGTATCTTTTGATGTATAGTCTAAAAAAAATACTCAATTCAAAAAATAGATTAGTTGAATTATAAACTTATTATCATGGGAGCACAAGTATAAACTCTTGATATGAAGAATTATCTAGAAAATAAGTTATGAAAATCTAAAGTCTTTTTATTTATTAAGTCTGCATTAGAGATTGTGTTGTAATTAATAGGGGGTATGATATGTAATTGAGATTGATTCTCATCCTATAAATAGGTGATGCTTTGGGTTTGTAGTCATCAAGTGAAAAACAAAGATCAATGAGTTTATAAAGAGAGTTGCTTGAATAAAGTTTGAAGAAAGAAGTGTTTCTTTGTGTTTTGAGTTTTCTCTCCAACAAAGAGCTATGGTGATGGTATTGGTTTAGAGAATTCTTATTATGCTCTGTGATTGCAGCTTAGACCGATCTTCTACGTCAGAAAAGAATTTCTCTTCATCATACTAATTGGGGATTCAAGAAATTAATCAAAAGTATGGTTAACAAGATGAAAGCTCAATTGGGTGCACATGATAGCGAGAGGCTTTATTGAGCCTGAAAATGAGGCCACTTCAAGCAATGCACAAAAGGATAATTTAAAAGATATGAGAAACAAGGACAAGAAAACTCTCTTTCTTCTACTAAGCCTTAGATGATGATGGCTTCGAGAAGGTTTCAAGTGCAAGATCTGCCAAAATAGCATCGGAAAAGTTACAAACTTCCCATAAAGGAGTCGGACAAGTGAAAAAGTTAGGTCTTCAAACATTAAGAGGATAACTTGAATCGTTGCATATGAAGTCATCCGAGTCTATTTCAGATTATGTAGCAAGAGTATAAGCGGTCTCTAATCAATATAAGAACATTTGTGAAAAGTTGTAAGATGTGAGAATCATGGATAAGATACTTCATTCACTAGATCCCAAGTTTAAGTTTATTGTGGAGAGATTGAAGAAACTAAAGATATGGCAGAAATGATGATCGAGCAACTAGAAGGATCGTTGCAAGCTTACGAAGAAAAACATGGGATCACTGAGAAACTCTTCAAGTTACAACTCAAGGAGAAAGAAGGCAATCAATGGCATGACAAAATCCAAAATAGTCGAGGACGAGGCCGTGGTTGTGGACATGGTTGGGCTAGGAAGAAAGCTCATCAAGAGGTCATGGAAGAGGAAGTTATTCAAACTTGAGGTTTGACAAATCTCAAGTTCAATGCTACAATTGTCAAAGGTACGGGCATTATGCTTTAGAGTGTAGAGTTCCGAGCTATAAACCTAAAGAGAAAGCTAATTATGGCGGAGGTAAAGGCCAAGGAAAGAGGAACGTTACAACTAACACACAAAGATAGCATCGAAGACCATGAAAATATATGGTATCTCGATACCAGTGCTAGAAACCATATGTGTGGAAAGAGAAACATGTTTATGAAGCTTAATGAGTCGTGTATTGGCAATGTCACGTTAGGAGATAATTCTAAAGTATCATTAAGAGAGAAGGTGATATTCTCTTTCGTGCCAAGTATGATAGCCATCATTTAAGCTCAAATGTCTATATGTCCCCAATATGAAAAGTAATATTTTGAGCATGGGACAACTCTTAGAAAAGGGCTACAAAATTCACATGATGGATTGTAATCTCATTATAAGAGATTGGGAGGAACCTAATAGAAAAGGTGTATCTCGGAAAATAGAATGTTCTCTTTAAACATTCAAAAAGATGTTGCAAAATGTTTGAAGGCTTGTTAGAAAGATGCATTATGGCTATGGCATCTTAGATTCAGACATCTCAATTTTGAAGGTTTGGAGTTATTATTCAAAAGGGCAATGATGAAGGGATTGCCCCATCTCAACCAACCCGAGCAACTATATGAAGGGCGGTTACTTGGGAAACAATTCAAAAAAAGCTTTTCGAAGGATACAGAGTCAAGAGCGAGGAAGCCACTTGAACTTATTCATACGGACGTATATGGTCCAATCAAACCAAACTCTCTCGGTAAAAGTAATTACTTTCTCTCGTTTATTGATGATTATTCAAGAAAAAACTTGGGTGTATTTCTTGATTAGAAGTCTTCCAAGTGTTTAAGAAGTTCAAAGCCATTATGGAAAAAGAAAGTAGCTGCAAGATTATGGCAATGAGATATGATCAAGGAGGAGAGTTCACCTCAAAGGAGTTTCAAGAGTTTGTGAAGAAAATGGAATTCGTCGATCTTTGAAAATTCCAAGATCCCCCCTAAGAAATGGTGTTGCCAAAAATAAGAATTGAACAATCCTCGATATGACAAGAAGCATGCTCAAAAGCAAGAAGTTGCCAAAAGAATTTTGGGTCGAGGCATGTGCATTCTATCTTTCATATTGTTCTCTAACAAGAACTGTTTGGGGAATGACACCATAAGAAGCATGGAGAAGCAGACACCCAAGTATTTTTCATCTTAGAGTTTTTGGAAGTGTTTCCCATGTTCAAATACCGTATGTATGATAAACAAAGCTAGATGATAAGAGTGAAAATTTCATCTTCATCGGCTTTGATACTAGCTCGAAAGGATTCAAGTTGTATAATCCAAGTATTTAGAAGAAAGTAATCAGACGAGATGTTGTTTTTGATAAGGACAGAGAATGGGATTATGGACTTGACAAGGATGTTATACCTTTTTCAATTTGAAGAAAACGAGGAAGCACCAACTGAGCAATATGAAGATATCCCAACAAGAACTTGTTACCCTACTTACTTCACGAACATCAGATGCACATGAAGACTCGTTTTCAAGTTGAAGTTCGAGTGAACGAACTCCAAGTATGAGGAGTATAGCTGATCTTTATGATGCTACAAAGCCGATGGATGATGTCACGTTTTTATGTCTATATGCTGATTATAAACCGATAAGTTTTGAGGAAGCAACAAAGGTGGAAAAGTGGAGATGTGCAATGGATGTAGAAAAAAGTTAATTGTGAAAAATGAGACTTGGGAATTAGCTTCATTTCCTAAGGGGCACAAAGCAATTGGTGTCAAGTGGATTTACAATGCAAAGAAGAATGCAAAAGAAGAAATTGAAAAATCCAAAACAAGATTAGTTGCAAAAGGCTATAGTCAAAGATCCAAAATCAATTATGATGAAGTATTTGTGCCCGTTGCTCGACTTGCGACAATTAGACTTATTATTTCATTGGCTGCTCAAAACCATTGGATGATCATCAGATGGATGTGAAGTCGGCGTTTCTAAATGGATTACTTGAAGAAGAAGTTTATATTCAACAACCATTGGGCTATGAAGTTAACGAAAATGGAGATAAGGTCCAAAAGTTAAAGAAGGCTCTTTACGGCCTAAAGCAGGTACCATAAGCATGCAACAGTCGTATTGATGCTTACTTCCTGGACAAGGGTTTCACTAAATGCCCTCATGAACATGCCTTTTACACAAAAGTCAAATATGGAGACATTTTAATTGTTTGCTTGTACATGGAGGATTTTAATTTTCATAGAGAGTAATCCAAGCTTGTTTGAAGAATTCAAGAATACAATGACCAAGGACTTCGAGATGACTGACATCGGCTTAATGACTTACTGTCTTGGGATTGAAGTTAAGCGGAACGAGGAAGGTATATTTATCTCCCAAAGAAACAATGCACTTGAAATACTTAAGAAGTTCAAAATGAAGAAATGTAAGTTGATAAGTACTCCATCAGAATTTGACATGGAGTTGTCCAAGAATGAAGGAGGACAAAAAGTGGATCCAACATGTATCAAGAGCCAAGTTGGAAGTTTGAGCTACTTAACTTGTACAAGACCAGACATCTTGTATGTTGTTAGACTTGTTAATTGCTATATGGAGTCGACAACAACTATCCATTTCCAGGTTGCCAAAAGGATTCTTCGGTATCTTAAAGGTGCAATCGATCTTGGCTTATTTTATTCGGCTTCAAATGAATACAAATTTGATGGTTATAGCGATAGTGATTGGCGTGGAGATATAAATGATAAAAAAAACACAACCGGGTGTGTGTTTTTCATCGGAGATACAACTTTTACATGGGTATCAAAGAAGTAGATAATCGTCACATTGTTCACTTATGGGGCCGAATATGTAGCTATTAGTTCATGTGTATATCATGCAGTTTGGCTTAGAAATGTGTTAAAGGATATTAGTTTGATTTAAGAAGGGCCAAGAAAGATTTGCGTTGACAACAAGTCAACTATTGCATTAGCAAAAAAACCCAGTGTTCCGTGATTGTGTTGAAGTTTGTAAGGTCTCAAGATCAGACTACAAATATCTTCACCAAGCTGCTCAAGTTTGAATATTTTGAAAGACTTAGAAGTTAGAATGGACTTGTAAAACAAGTTTAAAGGGGGTGTTGGATTATCAATTTGTTATTATGGGGGCCCAAGTATAAACTCTTGTTATGGAGAATTATCTAGAAATTAAGTTACGAAAATCTAGAGTCTTTCTATTTATTAAGTTTGCAATGGAAATTGTGTTACCAATTAGTAGGGAGATGATATGTGATTGAGATCGATCCTCTCATCTATAGATAGATGGTCCTTTGAGTTTGTAATTATCAAGTGAAAAACAAAGATCAATGGGTTTACAAAGAGAGTTGCTTGAATAAAGTTGAAGAAAGAAGTGTTCTTTGTGTTTTGAGTTTTCTCCCGAACAGTTTTCACTCCCATTGTCGTAATAGATCGTCTATTTTGAGCCACTAAGTTCTTTCTATTGGGGTAGGGATGGGCTAAATGCATCCCTATAATCTGCTAAATGTACCACTGTCAACTACTATTTAGATGTTCATGCGGCTTTAACAATTAGCATAGTGGGTAAGAAAGGTGGGAATACATGCAAAATGAATTGAGGGTAGGCACCATTCATGTGTCCATGGGACATGCAACTTACTTCTCTTATGATAATTGTGGGACCAGTAAGGTGGAGCGTTACAGATGATGACATTATACAATTACAAGTAAGATGCCAATCTTTTCTTGCAAAAACTCGAATAAGATAAATATTTTCTTTAATTTTTTAATCGAAATAAGATTTAGGGTAGAGACCAAGAACCAGCGCATATGATCCTAGATCCCAAAAAAAAAGACGCACACACACACACACACACACACATATATATATATATATAACCTCTTTCTTTTACACTTTATAATTCATAGAAACTTAAAATCGGTTACCAGCATCCAAATGCAATACTTATACATTGATTGTTTCTTTTCCATATACAAAACAGTCCTTGAATGAAACACTACTGCATTTCCACACGTGTTGTTTTATGTGTGAAATAACACATGCAATTGTTTTGTAAGTATTTACGGTTTATTAAGTTTGTAAATGGTTATTGTCTATATATGTATATTATTGTTTATTTTTTCCAAAATATTTATTCTCTCACTGGCTACCCTTATATGCTTATTACATTCTATAGGGTTTGGACTAATATACACGCTACATTTAACCTTTATAACTTTGACTCGTATGGTATCTTTTCTTGAAACATCACCGTTAACTGCAAGTCTTGAACCTTAGACTATTATTGCTATTGTTTCAAGAAACTCTCAAAGTACTAATTGAGACAAAGACAACTGCTAATTGGTGGTAATCATTAATGCAAAAACGAGTTAAGTCGCTAGAGATATTAGATATAGGGCAGGGTTGGCTAGAATTCTGTGGCCAGGAAAGAGACCTCTTTGAAGTCCTCCAAAATGAGAATGGTGTATGATAGATGCTAAGGGTTTGCATATGATCTACTCCAGCATTCTTGTGTTTTATATAAAGTGAAGCAGTACGGTCTATGTTAAGAATTGTTTGTTTTAGATCCATTGCATGTCCTATTGCGAATTCCAGATGGCCACTCTCATAAATTTCATCACATTATTATATAGATCTAATTTGGTACCGTCCTAACAGTAAGCACTGTGGACGAATTCCAGGTGACCACTCATAAATTTCATTACATATTATTATATATGATCTAATTTGGGTTCAATTAAATAAGCTAGAGAAGAAAAACACTAACTTTTAATGTGTTCCAGGAACAATCACTGTTGGAAGTTAACAAGTCCCTAAGGAGTAAGGTATGAATGAAACCCTAATTGTTATTCCCCATATTTCAATGTCAAATTCTGGAAATTGAGGAAAAAAATTAAGATCTTGTTATTTGTTCAATAATTTCTGATTCTACTAGACCTCTAGTAGGATTCGAACCTAGAAAAAGTTTGTATATAGTGAAAGGTTCGATCTGGGCTGCAGCCATGCAATATTAATGCCTACTGTCTTTTGTGTGCGAAAGGGTGAATCAACTGAATTTTGGTTTAAAAGTTAAATTGGCCTTCTAAAAAAAGATTTATCTACCAATTACACGTGATTGTTGTCGAGCATGACTGAGGCCCATCCACAAATGAATTTACATATAACGTAATTTATTTTTTGGTAGTTGGAAGAAAGCACTGCAGCCTATCAATTATCATGGGAAGCCCATGACCGCAACTTCGAGAACAGACCACTGCCTGCTCACCAGGAGGGTCATTTCCACCATCTTGGTTGCAATAACAATTTGCAAATTGGGTACATTTCATCTACTTATTAAACGTCCAATAATTATTGTTCAATAATCTGAATTTGCTGACAGATACTTCTCCAACTATTTTTGCACTTCAGCTACACCAATGAGGCACCAAATGATGAAATGGATGTTCCAAGTACATCACAAAATGCTAATGGAGTTATACCAGGGTGGATGCTTTAACTAATGATCAACCAAAGAAGATCCTCAGTAATCTTATATATTATAGATCTGCATAGTATATTTTCTTGATTCTGGTTCAATAAAGTAGTTATCTGATGCTGCAAAAATTGTGTTGAATAAAAAAACAAATAAATTGGTATTGTGTAGTTTGTGTACTACTTTGCATTGTTCTTGTATCATAGCAAAGAAGTATCCCTAGTGGACACCTGAAGCTGAAGTACTTGCTCGAGCTTAATTAATGAAATGTAATGTAACAGTACAAATTTGTGGAAAGGGACTGTCGATTTGATACTGAGACTTCTTTTATTGTGTTCATGGTCGAACTCTTAGGGTTATCATTTGTGATATTAGCCCTTTAGTTTCAGTGCGATATGCTTTGGTGGTGAACAGTGGATCCATGGCGAGTGTCCTTTTTGTGTGATTTGCTTAGTTCATCATCATCTTGCGTGCTGGTATATGCTTCTGTTGGTGTCATTGCAGTACAAAGGAAGCATAAAATAGATAAATAGAGGCATCCATGCCAAAGCTGTGGGGAAACAAAGAATCGATCAATTTTAAATCTATTTTTTGGTGGGTTATTTTACTAAAAACCTAATAAAAGATAAAAGAGATAGGTTGTTGGAATGTCGAAAATATGCTCCTCTGAAGCCTAGCATCAACATAGTATCATAGAGATGATCATATATTATAAAGCTGATAGACACGTCCATGGATTTCTTTTTATGAATTAGTTGGAAACATATTGTTTTGACAACTTCTTGTATTTTTATTACTATATGTTCATTGCAATCTGCTGAATTCCGATTTAACAAACAAAACTGTTGAAAGATATAGCGCACCGAAGCAAAGTAAAAACCAGAAATGATTTTAACAGATTACAGTTTATAGAAAGTCTCTAAGTAGACTGGTTTTCATTGATAACCCAGGCTATTTTGAAAAATCCCCAATCTATACATCTATCTCACCTTCTCTTTTTGTAATTATAATTAATATTTATATTATAGATCGTTAACTTTTCAAAAAGAAAATCACTTCTCGCGCGGTTGGGATTAGTTAGTTTGTCTTTTAAGATATTTGATTCAAAACAAGGCTCCAAAACACTAGGTGGATTGACAATAGCATAAAATTTCAACTACAAAGACTAGGTGGAGTCACGAGGTGGCAGTATTAGGGACACTATATACTCGTAAACCGACCATCATTGACAGCCAAAACCAATGAAATCCTTCAGTAAAGGGCACACTGATTGATCGTTGATGGGAAAAAAAAGTCAGGAAAAACTTGGTCGATGCATTTAACTGAAATTTTTCACCAATGAAATTTGCCACTAAATTTAGTAATGTTGTGCTTTTGAAAATAAAAATTGCGACAAGTTCGTCAAAGGATGGCCGATGGTTCTTGTTTATATGATAGATTGCAATAATGTATTTTATCTGTTGGGTTATAGACGATCATTTTACTAGAGGTACATGAGATTTTCACCTCATATGACTCCTCGTTCAATTCTTCCGAAGTTATTGTATGCTTTTCCACCGAGCTCTCTGATTAAATTGCTCATTGCTCATCCAATGAGCATTCTCAATAGTATCCTTGAAGAGGACTTGAACCTACGTATTTCAAATACTTAGTATAGTACCCCTAGATCCATTATCAATTGATTGTGAAGAGCAAAAGCCATTAGTAATTATTTTGTCAAAAATCCCTTGGGTACTATTTCTTGTCGTTATTAATTTTTTGGTAATCTCCATTAAATAAAAATAAAAATTCAATCATATGTTTGTTCAATAACCGAATAAATATCAATTCAATTATTTTTAGCAATATTCTTCTGTGCGTCCAAATGTCCTGAGGCAATGGAAGAAAGTTTACGACTCAATTGTCCATCAACATTAACATAATCCCTATTAAAATTAAGACATTAGACGGACCAAATGTTCAGTGAACCATTCAGTGGGAATTCCATTTAACAAATTAACGAACATGAATAATTTTCTTGTTGGTTTAGTTACTTGAAGGACAAAAAAAAATTCCAAAGCACATCATTCTTATAAACTTTCCAAAGCTATCTTTACTAGTGATTTCATGATTACTTATGTTAAGGAAAAAACCATTAATAGATCTTATTCAAATTATAGTTGAAAAAAGTAAATTAGTTATTTTTGAATATTTATTTTTTATTTCCAGTAACAATTAAAGGTATGCGATATTTTTTTATAACAGTTTAAATGTTTATTTATTCATTAATATTTTTTCATATTTTTATTTGCGGTTTCATGTTTCATATTTTTGTGTTTTATGTTTCTTAATTTTTTGTTTCATGTTGCATGATTTTCGTGTTTCATGTTTCATATTTTTGTATTTTATAATTCATATTGCACCTTCATGTTTCATTATTCGTGTTTCATGTTTCATATCTTCGTATTTCATAATTCGTAATTCATGTTTCACATATTAAAATCTTCAAACTTTTCCGAAATATGGATTTGGAAAAAAAACTAAAGCATGTTTTAAAAAATTATCAAAAACGTAATGTGTGTGTATATATATTGAGAGAGAAAGAGAGAGCGAAGAGTTTCAAATACAAACCATGTCATTTATATAAATAATCAATTGAGATATTACGGAAATGATAACGATTTATTTTTTATGATTTAAGTATTTACATTATATTATTAAGATTCATTTATTATCATCAAAATTTTATTTTAGAAAATAATTGAAATATTTAATTATAAAACCAAATATTCATTATACGATATGGACAGTTGAAATTGATTTGTATGTAAAACTATATATATATACATAGGGTTCGATTCACGTGAGACCCATTTTTACACTTGAAACTTCACAGTAAAACGCTGTAAAGGTAAAAAGAAGCTGAACTTTTACAGAAAAAAAACATTGTGAAGGTTACCTTCACAGCCTTTTGTTGTTGAATCAAGTGTAAAAAACCTGTCTCACGAAAACAGTCTAGTCTCACGTGATCCCAAGTGTTAACTTTATGAATTAATCATGACCATTGATTTTTAAAATAAAGGGTTGAGATTAATCATATTATAAATTTAATTTATTAAATGTGTAATCTCACAAACGAACATAATTGCTGAAGGTTATTTATGTGAAAGATAATGTGCATTCAATGACATTGGTTAGAAACATTAGAAATCATATATGTTCAAGTTATGTTCATAATTGCCACAAGTGTTCACATATATACTGGATTTGTTTTTATAATTGCTACAAGTGTTCATATATGTTCAATTTGTATCCATAATTGCCACAACTGTTCACATATATGTTTAATTTGGGTTCATAATTGTCACAAGTGTTCATATGGGTGCATATATGTCAATGTGTGTCATATATGTCAATTTGTTTCGTAATTAACGACACTCGTTTTGATTATTTACTTCACTTTCCGATCTCGAACTTCGACTGTCACTATACACAATTTTAAACTTCTCAATTTTGTCGTGTTGTTTTCCAATGTCTTTATCCATAATTGTTTGAAAGATAACAAACACTTTACTAGTGGATCTCCTCCACCAATCACAAATTTATAAATACTAAAAATGGAAGATCAATATCAAAAAATAAAAAAATCTAAATATCAATCTTAAAAAAAATACAAAATCATAAGATTTTATGTATCTTGTAACTCTCAATTAATGATATAGGAATCACAAAAGAAATTACCCATGTACCCTTAATATTAAATTTTTAGATAATAGAGAATCTAATACTAAGATAGATTATGATTGGTCTAAAAGGTTTACAAAGTTAACACAATAATTTGTTTTAACATTTAAACTAAGTTCTTTCTCTCACACTACAATGAAATTGAGTTTATAGGAACCTCCAATCTCTAAGCGTCTCAATAGACTGTTTTATAGGACTTAATTTATAGGACCAAAATATAAAGCATCCTATCTAAAGACGTTGTAATATATTTATATGACGCTTTTGGGCCTCTTAACAATTTTTTTAGGACATTTTAATGCAAAGCGTAGCATTACCAACTTTATAAAAAGTGTCCTATAAACTTAATTTTTTACAAGACACTTGTTTTTATAGGACGGTTTTTCAAATAGCGTTCTATAAAATTGCTAATTGGATATTTTATATTAAAAGTGTCCTAAAAAACTTATTAAGACGTCAAAAAACGTCATATAAACTTATTACAACGCTTTTAGATATAACATTTTAGTTTTTGATCATATAAACAAAGTCCTATAATGAGGTCTATCAGGACGCTTAGAAATTGGGAGCGTCCTATAAACCCGATTAAATTGTAGTGTCTCTCTCTCTCTCCCTATATATATATATAAATATACG